TGCCACCTTATGGACATATCTCTTCAATTTGCAGTTAGCATTTTTCTGAATGCCAGGAGTAGAGCTATTGCTATACCTATAGGGCTGCTAGGCTGTACCATCTGGCCTTAGCTCCTGAGGCTACAGAGTTGCATGCAGCCACTGTACACAGAGAGTTTGTATTAAGTGAACTCATTCACAAAATACAAAGGCTCCTGTGACTGAACAGTGGAGGGGAGGGGAGAAGAAGGACAGACAGAGATGCTGTGTATGAGAAGACTGCATCTCTCTTATCAGATCCCCAGGAGGATAATGATAGCTGCACTTCTGGAGCTCCATAAAACTGTCAGATGTAAATTAAATAGTCCATGAGGTGGCATGCACCTAGTTAAATTTACCTCATGAGGGTTATTTACTAAAGCTGGAAAGTGAAAAATCTGGTGCAAATGCTGCATAGAAACCTACTAGCTTCCCTAGTTTTTATTGCCAAAAGCTGAATTGAACAAGCTGAAGTTATGAAGTTAGAAGCTGATTGGCTACCAAGCACAGCTTCACCAGATTTTGAGTACACCAGTTTTTGTAAACCTCCCCCATAGTATGCCAGAAAATTTTACAAGGTGGCTGAATTCCTGGAGTTCAGCTTTAATGATAAACAGTGCTTTAGAATACAAATCTATGATGAAGCATTTTCTGCTCCTTCATTTTCCCTTAGCCTCATTAAATGTCTTCCACAAGCAAAGTGGCACATTTTCAGCACCTGGCCAGATTGGTAAATGTGTGTTCCTAAAACACTGTTCATATCAAGAAGTGAGCTGAAATTAATATGTCATGGGAAATAATATTAAAGAGTGACAGTGAAATATTGCTTTCACTTCACAGGTTTGTTCCAACTATCTTCCAGTATTGCTCCATCTTGATGGCATGCAGTTGGTGGTCAGATTTGTTTATCCTTTGTAATTTAGTGGGAATCATTGTCACATTTGAGCACAGAGCTGAATGTTACATTTCTTCAGCACCAGATGGTGCTCTTGGTGAACTCTGTAATTATGATGACCAGTCCTGTTTATTAATAGTGGATTTCTGTTATTCCACAAAGGTGTCCAAAGGAATAAACACATTCGAAAATAGCAGAGATGCCCAGATGCTAGAGCAGAGTTTCTCAACCTTTTTTTATGATGTAGCACCCTTTAAAAGTATGCAAAATCTTGAGTCACTCCTGTCTAAAATGTAAAAAAAGGTAAATGTTTAATGAGAAACCTGAGCCTGGGACAATGTACACAACCACCTTGATGAAATTAACTTCACATTAGTAGTCCCTCTTCACATCAGAGCTCCCCCCTTTCACATTAGTATCTCCCCTTCATTTCAGAGGCCACCACCCTGTCATACCTTCCCATCAGCCCCATCATACCAAAGTCCACGGTATACATCATAGGCCGTCCATAGGAGTTCTCCCATCACAGAGTTCCCCCCTGTACACGAGTCCCCCCAATCACATTAAACTCTCCCATCACATCATGATCCCTCATCACCACAGAGATCCCCGCATCACAATTTCCGCCACCACAGGGTCCTCTAATTCATCTCTGATCCAGGGTAAACTAGGTCTCTTCTTCTCAACTGGCTAGAGCATCTGTCTAGTGTAATACTGTATTATGAGTACACTTTGAGAGCTTGTGGGGAGGTGCAGCACAGTGCAGTGGAAGTGAACACAGTTGCAAAAAAAGTTGAAAATTGTATTTAGCAGAATGCCTATGTTACAAACACCCTAGAGGGAAAGCGACTCTTGGGGAAATAACTCACAATTCAATATAGATGTGGCTGAGCAGAGGTGTGGACAGCGTGTGTTTCAGAGGTGAAAAGTGGCCTGGCCGGTCAGGTCCCAAATGCAGAGGTTTCTTTCCAGGTTAGCAAGTCCCTAACCTGTTTCCTTTTGTTGGGAAACTTTCCCTACTGCTAGTTACTTTCCATAACAAGCAAGAGATCTCTCTCCCTACACTAGCCACTCACAAAAATGTACTCCAACACCTGGGGGCATGGACCTACAGTATATAGACTCTGCTGACCCAAGATGACCACCAAGGGTCACATGGCCGCAGCGTAGCCAACTGGAATGCTGCTCTATTGACCCAGGAAACTATAGAGAAAGTATGAGAACAAAGGACGCCTGATCGGCTGCACTCCAAACAATCCACTTTATTGTACCAAGATAAAACCAATACAGACAGTGGAAATACAGTGGGGGACTGGAAGGTAAAACTGTTGGGTCTGGAGTCTTCTCTCTTCCTCCCTGCAGAGTAGAGAGGTTCCTCTTCAGATGTCCATCTCAGGTGGGGTCTTCTTAGGGTCCACAAGTTTGCAGGGGCCCAATGGTGTTACAAACAGTGAGAGCTTTCCCCAGAAACAAGCTTTTAAGTGGTTCTAAGCATCTGCATGCAGCTTACCCCCAGCCCCCCTAAATACTTACCTGAATCCCTTATACTTAACTAAGCACTCACTTATACTTACCTATCATACTTACCTAAATACTTACCTGAATCACTTTAACTATAAATATGACTCGTTCACATTTATGTAAGGTGCATTAATAACGTGTTATTGCATGCATTTTCACTTTCAATCACACATGCATGCACATGATTTTAACACAAGTTAATGTTAATATGTGTTTTCTGCATGTTTGTGAAAAAGTTAAGTGTAGTAAAAGCAGCAATGTGCAGTTATGAAAAGAATGTGTCTGCTACCATTAAAGTAGACTAAATGACATTCAGTTTTTTTATGCAATCTGTATTTAAACATATGCCGTGTTTGTTAGTTTTTCAAAAAATATTGTTTCCATCTTTTTTTTTCCTTCTTCATTACATCTCAGTGCTACTGATCTCCTCTAGCCACATTCAGTTGCTTTCTGGTTACTTGCACTTGCTCCTGTGCCACCTGCACATCATTGGTCAGGCTTCCTAATAGTGACAACGGTGGAGGACTATGTCTGGGACCTGGGTAATGTTTGTTGGCAAGGCCACTTGTAGTGACCACCAGTGGTGCATATAATAGGAATGCAAGAGTATAATTGAATGGTTTACAGCAATAAAGAGGCAGCTTCACTTTTACTAACGTTTTAGAGAAAAAGTTGCTTAAAGCTTTTTTTTTTCCAGCTTAAGTTTCAAGTGTTTTACCCATTTTCTTTGTCCATGTATTAACACATGAATCAGCACTGTTAGCAAACAAAAATATCCTTTCTCTAAAACAAGGTGAATTTTTACATTTTGCAGCTGCCTCTTTCTTTTCATCATCGCAGGCAGGCAGCATCATCTGTTGAGGAATATGTGAACTAATGTTTAAAAGCTACCCTTCAATAGCGAAACAGTTGTCACCTCATAATAGGAAAAGTCTGAACAAGGACCCTCATGGCAGGATCACCAAATAATATTTTAATATTGAAGATTTAAAGATGTTGAAAACAACTTTTGAAATTGCATTAAAGGAGATCTAGCATGCATTTTCAATTTATAACATCAGCATTGCAATGAAAATACAAACAATAGTTATTTTTGAAAATCCAGTGCTGCCTATCTCTTGACCATCTCTGTCAACAGCTTCCTGGATTCCCTGCATCTTTCTCACCTTCTCTTCTACTCATTCCATTGGTTTAATTTCAATTTCTAAGGATAAGCAAAGAGGAGCACACAGTACAAAAGTTTGTGGTCTGGTGGATGACTGTAAGCCCACCAGGTTCTTCTGGACTATGTTAGACGGGGTCATTTGCTCTACATGGGGTACCGTTGCTGTGTCGTGCTCATCGTACCAGAAAGGCAGCAGCCTAAACCCTAAGAGGGTTTACCTTCAATATCCACCATAGGGTAAAACTGACTGGAGGGACATCTCCCTACCCACCCACGCAACCATTCACCTATTGACTAGTGACTGATCCAGTCAGTCCAGTGCAGTCTTCAGCACAAACAAGACGATCAGAGAGGTAGCAGCCTAGGGCAAAAACAAGGTCCAACCTCACTGCATTTTCATTACAGATCTGCTTCTTTAAAGGACAACATGCTTTACTATATATCCGTCACAACCAATGTTCACTTCAATCAGTCCGTCACTATCATACACACACATCACCAGGGGCGGACTGACCATTTGGGCTCTTGGGCACTGCCTGAGGGCCCAGGGTCAGCAGGGGGCCCCATGAGATGCCCCTAGTACCTTTCATATTCTTTTTTGAGTGTGGTTTGAGTGTGGGCGAGGACACAGGGGCCCCATGATCTCCTATTGCCCGGGGGCCCCATGAGTTGTCAGTCCCCCCCTACACATCACACAACTTTTGATTTATGAGCACGACTTATCCCATGCTAACTTGCTGCCTGCAAGCAGTATTTCCTGTTCTGACTTCGCCTCCTGAAACTCCTTCTCTCAGCACCTCTGTAAGTTAGAAGGCAAGCTCTGTGAAATGTGTGACACAGCAGTGCCTACCCACAGCGTATAGTTTAATACATGTCATGGAATTCAAGGACGTAAATGTGCGGGGATCTTCACAAAGCAAGTTTACAAACTTGGAAATAATTGAACTACAAAGTGGAAACAAATTTTGGATTTTACATTTTGACCACAGATACATACTGTATTAACCTGTTAAAGCTGATATGTGATTTTAGTGATTAAGTTTACCTTACTTTAATTTCTAAAACATAAATTCGCACAGTAAATATCATGCAAGCTGCATTTTCTGTGACAGCCTGCACGGTGGCAAAGAGATATGAACGGGTCTGATTTCACTTTATGACAATTCCGTGTTTTTTATGCAGTTTCCACGCAGTAGCTGATTGTGTTGGGAACAGGGGCGGACTGACCATTTGGAAACTTGGGCACTGCCCAAGGGCCCGGGGTCAGTAGGGGGCCCCATGAGATGCCCCTGGTACCTTTTTCACAGGCTTTTTTGAGTTTGGGCAAGGACGCAGGGGCCCCATGATCCCCTATTGTCCGGGGGCCCATGAGTTGTCAGTCCGCCTCTGGTTGGGAACTACTTAGAGGTGAATGAAACCTAATACTGCAGGCAAACGCAGAGATGTGGACAAGCCCATACAGAATATTAGAGTTTTAATGACAAAGAATTACCTCTGTTTGATCTAGAAACTTTTCCTTCTCATAATTAGGTCACAGTAGCCAAAGCCTAATGTGAAACTCACTTTGCCTCGAAATATTTATTACCTAGAAAGTGATTTTTTTTTGCATTCTAATACACAAAACACAGACCTGCTAAGATTTATTTGTTTCACTGAATCGCAGAGCAAAGAAAAAAAAGTGTCTGCAGGGATCAAGCTTTTCAAACAAATATAATATCAATTAAAACCACACTTTATTTACAGCGAACACAATCCTAATTAAACAGCTTGGCGTTCTGTTCTGGCTTTAGAGAAATCCAATGAAAGGTCACACAGGCCTCTTGACATTGCTGGATTATGTGTTTGTTTGTCCAAGTGTGGAAGGAACAGTAATCATCACTTGTCACAGCTGACGGTGGTGTGTAATGTTACCGAATAAACTGTTAAAGTGTAAGGGGCAAACAGAATGTGTGTTTTTCACAATATTTCATAATTGTTTGCCTGTTAAAAACCTACAGAAAAGGTCTTCTTTAAATGCAACCAGAAATTGGAAAATAAAAATTTTCTCCTGCTGCAACAAATTACACCAGGCTTTATAGGGTTTTTTTGCCTTTCTCTGGATCCACTCTGTGTATAGGGTTCTATAAATGGGGGGTTCTATTTATTTATTCTATTTATTTTTTTTTTTTTTGGTTGAACTCAATAGACTTTTTTCAACCTTACTAATTATGTATCTATGTAAACTGGGGCTTAAGATAAGATATTATTATTATTATACAGTATTTATAAAGCGCCAATAGTTCGCTCAGCGCTGTACATTATAAAGGGGGACAGAACATGTGACAGAACAATAACAATACAATGCAAAACATGAGGGGATCGAGGCCCTGCTCTTTCGAGCTTACAATCTAGGAGGGAAGGGATGGTGGCAGAGGAGGAGATAGCTGTGGGGGACAGAGTGGTAGGAAGAGTGGAGGAGGTCAGCAAGTTAGCAGGGGGTGGGGTAGGCTTCCCTGAAGAGGTGGGTTTTCAGGGTGCACCTAAAGGAGAGGAGAGTAGGTGATAATCTGATGGGTTGGGGCAGGGAGTTCCAGAGGATGGGTGACACCCTGGAGAAGTCCTGGAGGTGGGCATGGGAGGAGGAGACCAGGGAACTAGAGAGAAGGAGGTCTTGTGAGGAGCGGAGTGTGCGTGCTGGGTGGTACTTGGATATTAGGTCAGTGATGTAGTTCGGGGCAGTATGGTGGACAGCTTTGTACCTCAGTGTTAGGATTTTGAATTTGATCCATTGCGCAATCAGAAGCCAGTGGAGGGATTGGCAGAGGGGGTAGGCGGAAACGGAGCGGTTGAAAAGGTGAATGAGTCTGGAAGCAGGATCGACTGAAGCGGGGATAGCCAGCGGCGAGGCAGGCCAGTAAGGAGGGAGTTGCAATAATCGATATATACATTAGTTTTATTTTTTCATGCTTTTTCACCTTCTTTTAATACTTGATGATTCTACCAGTAACACAGTTCTTGTTATAGTGCCAGGATGCCATCCGGATCAGAACCAGTAACCTGCGTGGACACATGACTGCATGAAAATGTGCGAAGGCATGTTGTACAGATGTCTGTGTGTGCAGGTGTGTGCGCATCCACTTCCAGAACTGACATCAAAAGCGCTATTTAAAGGAATTAGTTATGAGATGGTTGCTGAATGATCTTCTGCTAGTTCATGATCCCTGCTCTCGTGTATCCTTATCCCATACTTTTGCAGACTTCCTGTCTCTGACTTGGCCTGTCACTAGATTTCCCTCTATTGAATTCTTGGTTGTGACCTTAGCTTGTTTAAGGACTTTGTTTCTACTGATCAACCATTTATGACACTGCCTTTGGCTCCTGACACTCTCTGTTATCTCTAACTCTACTGACCATTCATGTATGACCTTGGCTTGGCTCCAAACCTTGACCCTCTCATTTATATCTTATTGCTCAACTATGTATGACCTTGGCTTTGCCCTTGACCTTAACACTGCAAACCTTCAGTCCTTCCCTGCTGGTCCTATCCTGCATCATCTCCCCCCTACCACAGTGTCTCCCCATGATCCCACTGAAACTCCAATGTCCCAGCTGGAGAGCCACCTAACTAACCATCCACCAGCAAATTAGACTTTCAGCGCCCATGCCACTTTGTGACATATACTCCCTGTCACTTCCTCCAGGGATGTACAGACCAGAGCCACAAGGGAAGCCCTCTCATCATTTCAGCAGCCTCTAACCAGGTACACGACACCTAGCATAACATTCATTTATAATACTGTATCAGAACAACAGAAACAAGGTAGGAAAATTACTCCTCTTCATCTATTCTATATTACATAGGTTTCTATGGTCCTCAGAGATACCCAAGAACAATTTAATTGATCAGATTCAGCACAAGGAACGTGCATAGGAAGTTATGATAGATATAAGAGGTATGACTGTACTCAAAATTCTTACTTACTAAGTGTAAAATAAACTCTCACAGCTTTATTTTCAACATAAACAGTATTGCACTTACAATTTCAGTGTGTCCAACCCAACACTAAGGGAAGTTTGCATGTAAACAGAAATCACTTTCTGCTCCGTCCGCAGTTCATGGTCATGAAAAAACAGTGCGTTCAGGATAACGTCACCCCAAAGTCACATCTTATGCGTTTCAGCGTAATGTCATCTCCTACCTCAAATGATGGCGTGACACAAAAACACGACAGCTGTGGTTTCGGAATGAACTTATCCCATATGCACTGCTTGTTCGTGACCATGGACTGCAGTCAGAGCCAACAGTGATTTCTGTTTACATGTGAAATTCCCTTAGTGCCCGGTCGGACACTCTGAGATTTTAAGTGCAATACTGTTTATGTTGGAAATAAAGCTGTGAAGCTATGTATATTGTATATGACATAAGGACAGAACCTGACCATGAGTCAAAGGAGTTTTAACCCTTCCTTGCATTGCTATGAGACTGTGTGCTGGTTCTATTTGATGAGCTGCTTTCATGATATTTCATTGTTTATACATTGGATTCACGTCTATATATTGGAATCACTATATTGTATTATAATAAGTCCTGGTGAGTACTGAATAACCAGGGAGAGGCCACATGGGATTGTGTGACACGGGCACTTTCGCATGGTTGTTTGCAGGACTGCACTAATTTTTTCTAACTATCACTACACAGTTGTGGTTTCTTACCAAATAAATTATGGACTACTTTTAATTATTTATTTATTCATACATTTTTTGATACATCATATTTAAATGATTTATTTGTGGTTTACTCTTTAGTAGTTGAATTGCGCTGAATTATTTACAGGATACACGCAATAAGATTTATTAGTTTATTTATCTTCTTATTTATTGAGTACACTTAGTAAGTAAGAACTTTGAGCACGTTTATACCACTTATTTTTTATTGGAGTCTTTTTGTCATTTAGTGACTGCATCTCTTTTAGTATATTTAGTTGGATCATATTGGCGCAGATCCTTTTTTCTTTAGTATAGGAAGTTATGAACCTAATCAAACAGATTAAAAAAAACATTTTCAATAGTATAGTTAAGAGGCTAGAAGGGAGCAAATATTACATTTTTCTTGAGAACAAAGGACGTCCGATTGGCTGTACTCCAAACAGTCCACTTTATTGAACCAAGATAAAACCAATACAGACAGTGGAAATACAGTGGGGGACTGGTAGGTAAACGTATTTCACGCTAAAGACCCCATTGTGGTAATGAATAAGCGCTGTCTTTAGCGTGAAATGCATTTACCTGCCAGTCCCCCACTGTATTTCCACTATTTCCATTGGTTTTATCTTGGTTCAATACAGTGGATTGCTTGGAGTGTGGCCAATCTGACTTCCTTTGCTCTCATCTATGCAGCACAGGAGCTGGGCTAGCACCTACAGGAGGAGTTGTGATTGGAGACTGGGAGTCTCTCTACCTTGAGTAGCTTTAATACATATATTAAATTTTTTCTCTTGGGTTTAAATAAGCTTTAATTGTCAGCTGATTTAAAACAAAAGTCCTGGATTTGAAAACTGTGAGCAGACTCTTTATTGCAAAAGAGACATGCAATACGTGTTGCAAATAGTTTAACTGTCAGGTGGTGTAAATTAGAAAGGTAAAGAGAAGGTCAGGAGGAGAGTATTTTGTATCATACAGAACAGGTCAGAATAGATGGCCTAAAGCTTATATAAACTTTAATTTTAAATGGACTATATACATTCTACATGCATCATATGAAATGTGTGCATAGACTTACAGCTGGTTCTCTTTAAAAATCAGCAACAGCTTGAGTAGAAATGCCTATCCCATGCCAGCAGCTGTGGAAAGGGAACCTTGCTCTCTGTGTGGAGATATCTTTCTGCAGAGGTCCGATATACCCCCTCTGCTGAGTCAGAGCCAGAACTCTTCAATCTACAGGGAGCAGGAGTTTAGCTGATTGCAGAGCTATAGGTCTGACCATGTAGGGGGGAGACCACTGCTTCCCTATAGAGAGCATGTCTCATTCTCTGCATCTATGCAGTTGTTGGAAGAGGACAAGCATTTCTATTTAGGCTTTTTATTTTGATGCAGCTGGAATGCATGTAGCAGTTTTAAATTGGCTGTTAAATTGGGATGTAAAGTGTTACTAAACCCACAACAGTAAAATCAGTCTGTATATGCAATAAAGCATGCTTGCTATACTCATTGTGGAAACTAAGGGGTCAATCCTCTGCATTGTGTAAAAGGTTTGATCCTGTCTTGTCTCATCATCCCCTTCTTCCACATTCCCCAATCCATCTGCTGATAGTACAAAGCCCTAAGAGGCACTTTGCACGTGCTCAGTTTGGTGTGTATTGCTAGAGAGGTTTTTCTTTTTTGGGGGGGTGCATGTGATCAGCATGGGGCCAATCAGCACTGTCTAGACAGAAGGTCAGTGGTCATGCAACCTCAAAAAACAGTCAGAGGAGAATGAAACTCATCCTGCAAACT